ATTCCCAAAATTTTAAATATTAATTTATAAATAAGCAATAAATTCAAAACTATTCTCTCAATATAGACCAAAGTATGAGTATAGACGATTAATTGAATTTTACAAAAACAAAAATTATTTCCAATTAAAAACAATTTTAATAAAATACAAAACTTTTCACATTATTTTAATCGAATATTTACTTAAAATTTTACTTAAATTTGTTTGAAATTTTGTTTAAGTAATTGTAGGTATGTACTATTAATATAAATAACTTTCAAATTGAAATTATTAAACGCGATTGGCATTATCATTATTTTTTTAATTTTTATTAATTTATTTATTTAATATATTTATAAATTGTTTTTCCTCTTATTTCTTTTTGTTTTATTTTTCTTTCTTTCTTTTTAACTATTCGTTTATCTAATTTGAAATAATTATTTTTTATTTTTTTAGTTTATTAATTTTTTTATTTTATATTTTAATATTTATAATTAGTATTTAGAAAAATTTAACTAAAATCTTAGGCAACAATTATTATATAATTACAAATGCATTTAATTTAATTATACAATAATAAAAATAAAACGAAAATTTTTTTACAAAAATACGCAATAATTAGAAAAAATAAAAATGAGAAAACGAAAAATATGATATTTAATTAACTAACTTAATTAATAAATATTAATTATAATAGTATTTAATTAATAACCTATTAATTGAGATTTAATTAATAATAAAATTGCTAAAATATAATAACTATATATTTTTTTATATTATAAATTTCCATTTTATATTTTTTTATTTAATAATAAGTTTTTCTTTACTAACACTAGTATGCGGTTTTTTTTTTATTTAATAATAATTATTTTAGATATAATATAATTATTTATAATTAATTCGCCATTTTTCTTCAAATTTTATTTTTATATTTTATTATTTAATTTAATTTCAAGTTTTTTTTTTGTGTTTTTGTTTTTTAAACATAAAATATATTCTATATTCTTTTATTCTTGTTTCTTATTTTTTTTTTGTTACTTTAATAATAATAGTTTAATTTTTATTACCATTTTTTTTATATTTAATTTTTTTCTTTTTTTATATTACATATCTTAACGCTTTGGCAATCATTTATTCTTAAATATAAGCAAAAAAAAATAAAAAAAATTAATTTGTTTTCTTTTATATTATTTCATAATATTGAATATGATGTTAATAATAATTATATTTTATAGCAATAAATAAAAATTAAGACGACAAAACATAGAATTAAATGCGTCAAAATGTGTTATACTAGTACAAACATTTCTATACAGAAAACAAATTCCATACAGCTGTTCTGTTGACATTTTTTTTTTTCTGAATAGTACAGTCCATGTTACCAAACTTCGTTTTATAATATCAAAAATTAATTTTTTTTGATATTCAATGCGCCGCTATTGCAAGAAATTATTCAATCACAACTAAATATTATCAAAATAATGGTCCTACTTTTTTATAAAAATTTTGAATATATGAGTGAATTAATATATGAGAATATTACCCGAAGATTCCAAGAGAATGATTAATTTGTATAGTGTATCTACATGATTCGATATTTCGATTTAGTCGAAATTACAAAGAGGTCGGTAACAAATCTAAGTAATGTACGAGTATAAAAATTTATTAGTCTAGTTTGATACGTTTTTATGATACCGCAAGGACTGACGGCCGATCAGCAGATATAAAATTAAATCGATAGAAATTCGATGCTGATCAAGAATAAATTATGCATGTCTATATTATTTCAAACTTTTAAATAATTCATTAGTATCGACACAAAAATATTACAACTCCATAATATTATTGAAACATAAACACAAAAAATTGTTGACTTTTCTATTTTTCTTTCCCAAAAGTTGACACCTATACGCATTACTGTTACGTAAATTTTAACTTATTTGTTGACTAACATGAATTATTACAATTTCTGCCTTAGAAACTTATCTGTTTTTATTATAGTTTATTTGCAAGTAAACTATTATAAAATATTTAATGTATTCGAAAGCATTTTAATTGCAATTTTGTTTGCATTATAATAATATTGTAATAAATAATTGTTATATAAATCATTGGTTTGTTTCAGTTATATCATAATCTGCAATATTTATATTATGTTACAAAAATTCATAACATGAACTTCAAATGCATTTTTAATTATTTATTAGATTTTATATAATATTCTTATAAAAATAAAATATTAGTAACACGATTTAATTAAACAATTAAAATAAATAAGAAAATTTATAAAAATTTTTCAATTCCTGTAAAAATGAAATTCTAATGAAAATGTGACTTTAATTTAAACAAATCATAAAATTTTAAATTTTTAAAAAGACAATAATATTTTTCATATAGCCTTTAAAATAAATCTTCATTCATCATATTCTAATATAAAATATAATATAAAATAAAATAATTAAAACAAAAAAAACAGAAAATAGAATGTTATATAACAATAGTTATTTGTTTTTTAAAGAATTTTCTTTTCAAGTTAAATTTTTTAATAATTATTTTCATATTAATAATTTAATAATGTACAAGGTGACCAAAAATTAAAGAATGACTACGAATGAATGAATGGTTCAGTATTGTAATTTATGACGGATTTAAATAATTTTTAAGTTTAAATTGTGTTTTCGATTTTCAATAGAAATTTGTTTAATTTTATTTAAAGAATTTAATGTTTTTTTTATTTAACGTCTTATGAACGGGCTATGTCATTTTGGAAACCACAATTTCATAGCAAATTCATTTAACCTGCTCTATTATTTTTTATTATTTTCAATATAATTCACTTATGTAAAATCACCTTGTATATTATTTAAAAATCAAATAGGAAAATACATAAGCTATTATTTATATTTCATATATATATTATGTATATTCCTATATATATATATATGTATTAAAATATTTATAAATAACGAGCACGTCAACAGCATAATATTTTTATTTCTTCAAAATTTATAATTTTTTTTTTTCTCATTTTTTTTTTTTATTAATTTTACTTTACTAACATCAAACAATAAAGAAAAAAAATTTTGTTTTATTCTTATTTTTTTATAGAGAGTCCTTATAATTTTCTTTTTTCAATTTCTATAATCCTATTCAGAGTAAAATAATGAAAAAATTGATATACATATACATAATTTCGAAAACTAATACAAAAATTTAAGGAAAATGGTTAGAGTATGGGAAAATGAAAAAAATAAATGTTATTAAAGCACTTAGCGCAATTATTTTTAGCATTATATAATTTTACACTAATAAATTTTTACACAATTAGATATAATATAATAATTATAATTGTAATTTTATATACAGAAATGTAGGCGTATGTAGAGGCGTAATAAATTTGTTTTCTTTACCAACTGTACATTTAATTAGAAATTTTGAATATTCATTCAATTAAGGGTAATCTATATCTTAAAATTTTCAGAATATATTCAATAATAATCAAATTTTCTTAAAAATTCACATATTAATTTTCAAAATAAAATTAAAATATTAAAAATTTTCAACGTTTATAATGTTATTTAGGATTTAATTTAAATAATGTTGTGTCTGCAAATGTAGTTTCAGAAAAATTCTGAATTATAATATAATTATAAATTTTTATCTATCGGTTATAAATATCTACACAATATAAAATTAAAGTAATATTATAGTTTACATGAAATTTAAGATATTTAATATGAATCCCAAATATAAAATATTTAAAAAAAAAAACACATTGATATTAAAGTTTATTTCTTTTTAGAAAATAGATTACCAATAATTGAACAAATTGAATCTTTAGCTTGTAGAACCTCTTTACATGTACATTAATAGCGGGAATATTCATATAAAATTTATTGTTAGTATTTATGAATATATTTTATAGTATTATAATAACAGTATGGTTTATATTAATAAATGCAAATATAACAATATAAAAATTATAATATAAGAAATAATGAAGTTTAACAAAACGAAATTTGTTTTTTTTTTTCAGTATAAGGATAATAGAAAAATCCTTTATTTATTTTTTTTTTCTTTTTCGAATATTTTATTTATTTATTTTCATTTTTTTTTCCTATTCTTTTATTATTAAAGTATATCTTTTCGTTTTCTTTTTATCTTAATAAATTATCTTGAATATTTCGTTTTTATTTTTCAATTTCAATGATTTTAAGGTTCTTTCCTTTTATCGAACAATAAAACTTTTGTCGAATATTATTTATAAATGGTATATGCGATTTTATCTCAAAAGAGATTTTCGGATGCACTTGTAAATTGTATAAATTGAATGTAATAAAAGAGAAATTATTGTATATTTAATGTGATAGAGAAAGGAATAAAAAAAAAATTTATACATATAATTTATTTGTTGTTTCATTTCCGTTTCAAATATTGAAAATCCAGGTGGGATTATATTTTATTTTAAAAATTTTATGTACAATAATTGAATTCTTAAAAGTAATTTGTTATATTTTTTTTTTTGTATGTGTACTTATTTATAAATTTAATGCAATTATTAGGATATTTTTTAAAATATGGAAGATATTAGATAAGAATTTAGTTCGGAAAAATTTCTCCTTCTAAAATAATATTTTTAAAACAATTTCAGGCGACAATATTAAGAATGATTCTATTCAATTTTATACTAATGATACATTATTGAAGTACGCAACAAGATTTCACATTATTGACTAAATTATTGTAAAAAATCATTCAGTGCAATTTGAAAAGTTGTGGGATCATACAGGTCAGGCTAAGATTTTGTTTTCCTGTATGAAAGTTTCAATTTTGAATTAAATAAATAAAAAAACTGAATTCGAGTAGAATCGTAATAACGACAAAGTACTTTAGATTACACTTTTTCATAAAGTGCTTTGCATTATCAAGTAATGATAACTGAAAAGCATTGTCGAGACACACTAGCTAACTCAAAGCTTGCAACAGTATCAGGGCATATGTCTTAAAGTCATTCAGAATGCCTCCCTTATGCCCAAAGTAAACTCTCAAAGTAAAATATGTACACATTCACATAGGCAAATTACTATTAAAATATTTAATTTGACGCTTATTTTATCCCTTTCTCTTTCTTTCTTTTTATTTTCCATTCAAGATTCATGTAAGTCTATTCATGTCATGGTTGTAATATGATAATTTTGAAGTCTTTTTTTCTTTTTGTTATATATTTTTGTTTTGGTTCATTTTTTTTTTAAATTGTTAATTGGTTTTTGACATTTTTGTCATATTATGTACAATATATAAATTTTTATAATATTGAATTAAAAAAGAAATTCAATATTTTAAAGATAGAAATGAAATTAATTTCAAAAAACAACAACAAAAAAAAAACATTTAATATTAAAAATCACTAATTTCACCTTCAGTTTCCGGATATGTACAAGTGAATGGATTTCTCAACCAATTACATAATGATTTATCTTGACGTTTCTTCTTTATTGTTATTTTATTATGTTGTTGATGTTGTTGTTGCATGTGTTGATGGTGTAAATGTTGTTGTTGATGATGTAAATGATGATGCTGTAATAATTGCTGTTCTTTTGTAACCATTGAACCAGATGTAAATGATGATTCATCGCTATCACGTGCTGTCGCAACACTATGATAGCCACTTTCGGCACGTCTAGATATACCAGAATGTTTCGATGTTCTTGGTGTTGATGAATCATGACCGCTATCATATGCTGTTTCCGATGAAGTATTTAGTGGAAGGAGTGGTAATTGATTTTGTGACACAATTGGTAGATCACAGAGTAAGCTCTTTTCATCTGGTTCAAATGGTGAAGGACGTTGCTGCTGTTGTTGTTGTTGCTGCTGCTGATGATGTTTTAATGAAGATGTTGTTGATGTTCCTAATAAAACTGATTTTTCATTATTTAATTCATCATCATCGTCTAAGTCGTTCGATTGATGATGATTTTGCTGTTGTTGTCTTGAATTTTGTTCAGTCTTATTTTGTAAATTTGGATCTGATGCACCATCTGGATGTCTTAATGATGCATACTGTTCCATGCCAGCTATTGTCATAATACCATTAAGGCTTGGCAGAGATGTTTGACTAGGTGTACGTGATGCATTTAATGATTGTCGGCAACTACCGCACCTAATATTAAAAGGGAGAGTTTTTAATAAAAATGAATCTAAATTGTTAAATGTTATTATAAAAGTTATTAAAAAATTTTGAAATTTAGAAAAATAAGTATAGAGGTGTAACTAAAAATTAAGGTTAACAGAATATTCAAAATTTTATTTTACCTTGGACTAGAAGGACGATATGGTGGTTCACTACATACGCTACCAGGACCTGTATTAAAACGAAATGCAGGTTCACTATAAACACTATTCGCCTCATGCATCCTAAAATTGGGTGTAACTTCAGCCATTGCTAATTGTGATGTAAATATTTCACGAAGACGCGCTAGCTGGTCAAATTGGTTCCTATATAAATATTAAAAAGAAAATTATAAATATTAGTAAAATGTTCACGACCATTCATTAAATTTAAAAACTAATTAATAAAATTTTAAAACTTACCTCGTTCTTTCACCCATCGCACAATCACTAAACGCATCTCCAATATTAAAGCTAGAAACTACAGATATATCACCATTACTTAATGCAGCTAATGGATGTTCTCCATTAGTGCTCATAGCTCGAGCAATTTCATCTTCAGTCACTTGTAAGCCACAATCCATCATAGCACTATTCATAGCAGCCATTTGTTGTTGCATTGCCAAACTTTCTCTTGATACATGCCTTGATATAATACGATGTAAACTTTCATGAGAAATTTCTCTAGAACCAAGTGGTGTTATAAGTGGTAATGCAGGTGGAACTTCAGATGGCCCACTATCCTGATCCTCTTGATCATCCTCTTTTCCGCTACCTGTATGATTATCACCAGCATTATTAGTTTGGTGAATGTTGTGACATGATTTTTCTGATATTAAATCTGTATCATCCGCATTTTGTAATGTACTGCTATTACTATTACCAGTTACTTTTAAACCAATACGTATACTATTTTCGATGGCAACCCCAGAAGCAATTAAACTTGTTAAACCATCTCCAATTGCATTTACCATTTCGGTTGAATTATTATTTTCTAATCTACTTAATAATTGTTCCTCTTCTGTTTTCAAATCTAGTTGCCTGTTGGGACTGGCACAATTACTAGTTGTTGTCATTGCTGCAGCACTATTATATTGCGATATTTGATATGATAAAGTTCTTAGCTGTTGTTGTATTTGTTGTTGTTGTGCTTGTAAATTCTGCTGATGTTGGGCTAGCTGTTGGGCAGTCATTGCTGTTTGTGATGTTGAATGTGTTGGGGAAGAATTTGCTGAAACAGATGTACCTCTTTGGAAGACATGCGATGATTGATTTTCAACCCATTGCCTAATCATAATTTTTTTATGTGAATCCATGAAACCATAACCTTGTGCTGTTTGTGACAATGGCACTGGAAGATTTCCAATAACTAATGGTTTTGCTACAGGAGATTGCGGTAATATTTGTTGATGTAATTGCTGTTGTGCTTGTTGCTGTTGTTGTTGATGTTGATTTAATGTTATCGGTGTTGTTGCATTCAATTGTGCTATACTTGATGTAGCTGATTTCGGTCCATCAACCCATGTTTCGCACTGTTTAACATGATTGATTTCACGTAATAAATGTCTTGCTTCAGCAACTTTTGCTCTTGATAATCTTGGGCCATCAATCCATTGTTCTTCACTAATTTGTCTCAATGGACTTTCTGGATTTATAACATTATTTACACCAGTTGATGTTGCTACGTTTGTTGATGTATTACTACCAACACCACAAACTGGTCGTCGTAAAGGTGATCCTTTGGGTGTTGATGAATTTGAACCTTTATTAACTAAATTACATCCACCAATTATTGTATTAACTGTATTATTACCAGTACCAACTGTATGTCTTAATGCACCGGCTACAATTTTTGTTGTTGATATTGATGATGCCATTTTAATGGGTGAATTATGGGCGGCTGATGATGTTGAAGAGAATATTGTCATATGATCTAATGGACCTTGAGGATTTGTTATATTTGAATTTTGTTGTTGTTGTTGCTGCTGTTGTGTTGGACTAGGAACATTATTTATACGCTTTAGGCTATTCGTTCGATTTGTAACCACAGGACTTTGTGCTATATTATAACAAAAGATATATAAATTAAAGAGGAAAAGGATAAATTATTGTAAAGTGAGATAAAATGAATGGAAATAGATTAAAATAAGAGATTAAAAAGAGATTATTTATTTGATTTCAGATGTTTTTTGTTCTGAAATATTTTAAAATTGTCTACTATTAAATGAACTGTTTAATATAAATATGCCATATCATAAAATATCCTGGTTATATTTTAATACAGTTCAATACATTTTACAAATAAAATTAAAATGAATAACAAAACAAATTTATGAAAAAAGTATTTTAATTGCCCCTTACGTTTTTGAGTTTGTGATTTTTTAACTGATGGTATTTTTGTTTGTTTTTCTACACTAGATCCTTTTAATGCTTTATTCATGGCACATCTATTATCTCCACTGCCTAATGATGGCAAATATACTGGTGGATGTTCACCATCCGTTGCATCATCACATGGACCCATATAAATGACAGTGTCAGCAGATAAATCAGAACTTGATGGATCTGGCCCCTCTGAAGAACCACCAGATTGATGAGCTGAAAATAAATTTTATTTTTTTTTTTCATTTTCTTTTTTTTTTTTTTGTTATTTTCATTAATATCCTTTGTTAGATTCTTTCAATGTATATAAATCCAGACAGAATAATGCTATGAAAAATTCATATATGGACAGATTTTTGGTATTTAAATGGATTACATTTTTGGAATTGAAAAAGATGGATGTAGTAAAGACCAATTTCATAATAATAGGTAAAATCATGACTTATGAATGAAATTTTTATATTATGAAGAAGGTTATGGAAAAATATTTCGTTTTAGATTCCATCTATCATTTTTGAAGATTACAACAGAATAAAAAAAAAAAATTTTGTTATAAAACAGAGGGTAGACATACATTGAAACAAATATTTTCTTTTTATGTAAGTGGAATTATGGAATTGAGAAATCATTTCATTGTTACATATAGTTTGGACAGGAGCACTTAAGAAAAATGTAATATTCTCTTTGTTTTCTCAAATTTTGGTTTTAAATCAAAATTCAAATTATTGGAAGAAGAACTTCTTAATATTAGATAGAATTACTAAGTACTTTTAACAAATATTCTCAAACATTAGCAAAATTTAAGTCAGGACTAATAAAGAGCATCTTTTTTTTTTCATCGATTATGAAGTTCGAAACATATTTCAATAAAATAATAGAATTTTCAGAAATTATTAGAAGAAAATATTTTATAAGCAAGTGTTATTGTGTACGTATTTTCATTCTGAAATCAAACGACTTCAAATCTAATCAAAGATGATTAAATCTGATAGAAGGTCATTAGTTTTCTTACATTATGATCTTCATATAGCTATTATTAACTTTTAACATTAAGTATTCTAAAGAATTGCCGAATATTTGAAAATCTATAGTTAAGAAAATTCTTGGATATTTCATTTAATTGGATAAAAATTAAAAACACATAAAATCCTTAACAATATTAGACTCAATAAAGATATAATTATTAAATTTCTAAATTTTACCCTCTATTGTAAGTTCCGCTTACAATAAAACTTTTATAAAGGAAAGGCAGCTTTCTATTAATAAACAACTCCCAACTATCTTTGTAGTAGTTTAGAGAGTAATTTTCTAAATTATATAAGTATCAAAATTTCGTTAAAAAAGAGTCATCAAATTATTCTAAAACAGTGAACCACTCTTAAGCACTGCAACTTACTCTGTCCTAAAAAAAAAAAACAAAATTAAAGTTTTTATCATCCAATTTTTTTTCCTTGTTCAAAACTGATGGTTTATATTTGTTATACTAGTTATATACAAAATATAACAATTTCGAGAGCACTTTAAAGGATTTTTCCATGTTGATTGTATTTTTATCTGTTTGTTTTTTTTTTGTGTTCCTATTTTTTGGAATAATTTCAAAAAGGATATAAATTTGTCCTTCTAAATGATACAAAAAACTAAAAAAAAAATCCCATTCTATAGGTAAAGTTATAAGTATATTTTTAATAATAAAAAAAAAAACATTGTCTGATCTGATATTTTTGTGCATACATTGGAGCATACAAAAACCCAAATAAGGACTTTTTCATTTTAACAATATAATTTAACAATAATGTACAGAAATAACGCATATGGTTAAAGGATTTTCAATATATTGGCAGTAAAAAAAGAATGAAATATTATTTTTCAATGTTAAACAAAATATCAGACATCTCACACCTTTTCATTTTTCAATATGAGGTAAAGGATATCTCAATTTAAGGATTTTATAATGTATTGTTGCTTTTATTTCAGAATAATAAAAGAGAAAGAGTATAATGTTGTAATATATTGTAAGTGCAAGAATTTTAAATTATACTCATATATATTGTGTACATATATACACACATTACATATGGAGATAAATAGTTTTTTGAACCAAAAGAGAGAAAGAGATTTATATACATACCTGTATTATTGACGCCAATTGTTTTATCCGATGAAATTGGAAAACGATGTTTTCTTCTTCGCATCCTATGTATCCTAGAGGCTAATTGGATTGTCGTTAATGCATCAGCATGTGTCTATATATAGAGAAAAAAAAACAGAAAGAAATATATATGTGTTAAATATAAAATGGAAAGAGTAAGAGAGAAAATTTTAAAAAATAAAATTAAGAAAAAAAATATTTGTTTCTCAATTTTTCTTTTCTTTACTATACAATTAGTTTTTACAGCAGTTACTGAAAAATTTCAAATAATTTATCGAAAAAATTATTGCGATGGTATTATAATTTTCAGGCAATTTTATAGTAACATAGCCCAAACGAGTTGGAAGCAACTAAAGCTGCCTTATTATAAATGTCTACTGAAAAAAATACTCTTTGAAATTTTTTGAGACATTCACTAACTTGCATGCATACAATTTCAATTACGTAATTATACTGATATGAAAGAATTCGAATACAATACTAATTTTGGTTTGCGTCTTGACTATTCTTTGTTAAGACAAGAATCAATATTAATTGAACGACCGGTTAATTTCCGAAACACTTCAGAAAGATTTTCTAATGTGAACTTTTTAAATATTATTCAGTTTTATATTAAGGTCAAAAAAAAGAGGCTAACATTTAGTTTATTTTGAAAAATATTACTCCTAATTAATGTCAAAGTAAATTTAACAACGTCAAAACTTCGGACATATATGTTTAATTATAATATTTCACGTGTAAGGAACGAGTGAACTTTCATTTCATTGCATTGTTTTAAGGAAAAACAACCGTGTGACGTTCCATTAACGATTATCAAAATAAGAACTAAAGCAAATTAAACCAATTAAAAATTAAATTAATTTCTAATACCAATTCGAATAGAGTTATGACCGTTAAGCTTGTAGATCCAAATAGTTTACATGCAACAAGCTTAATTTAAAGTAACTTTTAACATTGTTGCTTAAATACAGAATTGTTTTACCAAAATGAAAAATTACGTCTGGGCTGATGATAGTTTTTTTTTTCAATTCTCTACTTCTTTACTTCCTGCAAATTATTTTTATTTTTTCTATTATTTTTTACTTTAAATTAAAAGTTCTGGCTGAACAGAATAAAAGTTTTCCACCATCGAAAAGTATGGCAGGACAATAGAAGTAAAATTTTATAAAAAGTAAGGGAAAACTATTTTTTTTTTCATATAAATAAAAAGTTTGTTACTATAAATAAATTAAATGATAAAAAATTAAAACTTTGCAAAAAATAAAAAAAATTTTTGTTTTTTTTTCTTTGCAACTTTATTCTCACCTGTGTATGGGAAACATGAGCTAAAATTGAGACATGACAAGTCAATGGTGCTAAACAGTCTTTTAATAAAGGTGTCATCGGATGATCCTTATTCGGTGGATGACGTTGTCCGCTTAATATTGCTAATAATATATTACCAATTCCTGATAATGGTAAACCGCCATTACGATTTGCACAACCTCCTAAATCTATTAAATGTAAACGAGATCGACCACCTGCAACTGTTTTAAAATAAAAAAAACGATTATAAATCAATTTGGATTTTTTAAAATAATAGTTGTATGTGAGAAAGATTAAATTATGATTTAAATACAAAAATAACTAATGGAAATTTATTCATAGAACTGCAGAAAAGATGGTTAACGTAATTAAAGGAATGAGTTAAGGCAGAAAAGTTTATTCTCCTTGAACTGGACCCGAGCCAGTGACCTAACATATTTTAGGCCGACGCTCTACCAATTAAGCTACAGTGAGGTATGAAGAAATTACCAACAAATTGTTTTTTATATTGTTTTATACCGTAATCTACATTATGACAATACTTACCACCGCCTTTCCTCGATAAACTATATTGATAAACATGTAATGTAAAAATCATTGCTGGTTCTAATCCACTTTGTGGTCTTCCAGCTAAAGCAGCATCTAAAAATAATGCTGCTCTTTCAGCTGTTGGTGCTCTTAATTCAGTAGGCCCACCTAAGAAATCGTCTCTTAAATAAACACCTGGTGAATCATCAGATTCTATAATAAATAGAATAACATAAAGAAAAAAAAATTATATGTAGTCAAATTACAGATATTTTAATCATCTTCAATAACAAAAAGTTTTACTAGAATCTTAAAATTCAATAAAGTCTGATATTAATCTGCAATAATTTGTTATAATCTCAATTTTATCAATTTATCTTCATTATTATTATAATGATAAAAACTGAAGCTATAACATCTTAGGTTTACTAAATACACACATGCTATATAATTGTATGTATATAGGCCATAATTATATTATTATCCTTTTATTTATACCACAAAAATTTCAACCAATCAATAAACTATTGATCTTATTATATATGTAGCTTTAGAAAGCGCAAATTGATATTTTCACCATACTAAATACTTTTATAATATGAGGAATATGTGTATATCTTTAAAGAGCAAGTGAACATATGTACATAGGCACACACCCATGTGTTTGAATTGAATTTAATGCTCTACGTTTTATATTCTTTTTTCTATAAAACTCAATACACTCTCATCCCTTCTTTGAATTCACAAGAAAACGAGAAGTTGAAATGGAGTCATGAAGAATAACAAAAATATAACTATATGAAGTTTCTTTGCTTCACTAAGACACATAAACATAAGAGAAACAGAACGGCAGAGCTTGAAAATAACAACAGGAACCGCAGGAACCTAAGAGCTCCTGGGATTATACGAACGATCAGTTGTATGTACTGAAGGAATTCTACCGCCAACATCAGCTCGAAACCAGGCCAAATATAGTCAAATGATTTTTGTTGGGTACACAAAGCAGCTTTTCGCTACAACAATATCAGAGATTAAGAACGCAAACAAATGAAATGTGATAGCAAAATGTATAAGGATAGTGCTATAATTTCATAAAGAAAAGGACGTCACAATCCAATCTGAAGAAATGCGAGAAATAATCCTGGATATGATTTGATATGAGGATAATGTGCTAGACCGCCAGACAACATAAAGTTTTGAAAGAGAGTAATCTGTTAGAATCTACTATGCTTACCATTTTGGAATTCGCTTGAAAACCTGTGTATGTGTAAAAATTAAAGGAAATACCATAAAAAAGCTATTAATAGAATTCCACAATAAAAATATAAGGATGAAAAAAGAGCAAGAAAGAAAATCGATTGATTGCTAATTAACCCAAATCTATATTTCAATATCTTTAATCTTATTATATAGAGAGAGATGGAATGAGAAGAAGATAAAAAGTTGTTGGTTAACTCTTCAGACGAAAAGTCTTTTCCTCACTTATCTTTATACGATTTTTTTTTCAATCGTCTGACATTTTGTTTTTTTTTTTTTGTTTTTCATTGTGTTGTTGTTATTGTTGCGGTTGTTAGTTTGGGTTTCAATTGATTGTATTTTCTCTCCCTCCTTTTTTATTTTTCGTAAAATTTTCCTCCATCTCTTGATAATTTATTGATTACTTCTAATACTTTTATTGAATTTTCTTTAATTTTACTTTTTTTTTCCTTTTTTTCCTTAGTTATTATTTGTTTATATGACATAATACTTATATATATATACATATATATATATATAGATTCATTTAATTTATGTGTGCGTTTATTACAAAACCCCAACCATGAAATTCTTCACTAAATTATCGAAAATTTTCGAATGCTCATTAACTTTTACCTATATAAGTTAAATAATGAACTTACGAACTTATGTAAAAAAATAATAAGAAGGAAAAATTGAAAAGAATATGAAATAAATAGAACAAGAAAACAAACGTGAACAATTTTAAGTATATTAAATTGTACTTGGTTAATTTTGTGAGAAATGAGAAATTTAAAGATTTGTATGACTCTTTAAATGCTCATTATAATAGACTTTTCATAATTCGAATTGAGCTTAATTCATTTGGAGCTGTAAAGCTAAACGTAAGTCACAAATTCCATTTTATAACACTTAAATAAGATTTTTTCATGCCAATTCCCATTAATTAATAATTCAAATTGTTACGGTTGGGATTCACTGCAGAAATATAAGAAAAAGTTGTCATTTTTAAATGTGACGCTGTATTGCTACTTGATAATTCAATTGGATTCAATTTGGCTTTTAAAATTCTTATGTTTATGACTGTAATCGAAGAGTGCTTAAATTTGTAATAAAAGTTCTTAAAGCCTAAATAATAAATTTTCAAACTTGATTTATCAAAAATCTATCAAAATCACAAAACAAATAATGTTGAAATCGTATGTATGGCATACACAGAGAAAATCATGTGTATAAATATAAGAGAAAAAAAAAAATATTTTTGATTTTATCAGTGTCTTGTTCAAAGTTAATCAGAATTTCTTCATAGGGAATTAAAATGTTATCAATGCAACAATCACAATAATATATACAATAAATCGTACTTTACCTATACTCTTGTACCTTCAATTTTTCACTTATGCTTAAATTTAAACAGAGGAGGTTGTTTATCTTGTTAAACTATAATTTTTCTTAAACAATCTATATACACTAACATTTTTAATCTAATATAATTATGTAAGTCTTCTTGTATATTATAGTATTACAATCATATATATAAGTAAAATAACTACATGCACATTCATATATTTAGTACATAATAAAAAATACTTGAATAAGTACAATATTAGATTATTTTCCTTAAATCTCTTTCTTTCTCGCTCTAGTTTTCTTTCTCGCTCTAGTTTTCTAACATGCTATACAGTAAAAATTGTCATTTTTCCTATATATTTTTTTTTTATTTTTTTTGTGAATTTCATGTAATATAAAATTACCGTAAGTTTTATAGTGCTGTTGAACCTGAACCTTTTAACGATGTGACAGTCAACCTTTAATTAATTATCACACAATCAGTTTAATGAAGAAGGGTGTGCACTCTTAATTTTTGTTTTGTTTTTTTTTTTATTTTAAAAAGTTGTAAATAAAGGAAGAATGAAAATATATGTATGCTATATTTATATATATATATATATATATATATATATGCTATACTGTATAAATATATATATATATATATGCTATACTGTATAAATATATATATATATATGTGCTATACTGTATATATATATATATATACAGTATAGCAAATATATATATATATATATATATATATATATATACTTTAAATTAAATGAATAATAATAAAAAATAAGTAAATTAATAGTTAAAGTTTAGTAAAGGATTTAAGAATACAAAAATACAAGACAAAAAGGACATCTTTAAATATTATAAAAGAAGAAAAACAAAATTTATAAGGATTGGAACAAACAAGTTAACACTTAAATTAATACTTATGGTATAGAGACTATTTCTATAACTTCTTTATTCCGACGTATTTCCCAATTACTTATATAAAAACTTGTTATTATTTTTTCTATTCCTCCCCTCCAATTCATTCTAAATTTAGAGAATATAAAGATTTTTTTGTTAACTTTTCAATTGACTTTGTCCTTAAACAAAATAAATAACAAGAATTTTTTTCTCTCTTCTTTATTATTATTATTTTTCTTTTTGTTATTTTTAAAGGATATAATGATAAGTTGATGGATTGTTGTAATTTATATGATTAAGAATTATTAAAAGTGTCCACCTATTGTATTTAATGTAAACGAATTATATATATATATATATATGAAAATATACGCATATAATAAAAATTGAAGAATAAAGATATCAAAACAAATTAAAGTTTATGTCCTCCCTTTTTATTGAACGAAAAAAAACCAACACACAAATTTCCTTTATATAGGAAAGTGTACGTAACACAAGTTGATAGAACAAAGGAGACAACAATATACGACAGGAAATTATGATTTATTTTTATATAAATGAAAACATTGTTAAAAATAATTAATTAAATTATACAAATATATAGATTTCTCTATTTAAAAAAATTTCATATATAGTTGAAATTAGATAGGAAAACAAAAAGGCGAAAATATAGTCGAACTATAAGGAAATAAAAGCAAATGGGGTGGATGATCATACAATGCGTCAGAAAATTTTAATTTAAATATTCTTATCCGCCCTTTAAATGCATGGTTTTAAAAACTCCGCATGTATTCATATAGGAATTTTTTTCTATATTAACAATTAAATAAAATAAAATGACTGATGTTGTCACTCAATTAATATTTCGTGTCATTTTTTACTTTAATTATAAATTATTTTTTAATTAATATTTTCGAATTTATCTAAATTTTAAAATTATTAAATTTCAAATTAAAATTGCAATTCTTATCTATTTTAAATTTTTAACAGTTAATTTCACACATGTCATTAAAGTAAATTTACTGCAATTAAATCCCAAAATGTTATGCGGGTTTAATAATATTTATAAGGCAGTATATTATATTATAATGCTAGTAGAAAAAGGATAAATGCAATGTGATAGGCGAAATGAATAGGAATAGTGTTATGGCGTGAAATATCAGACTAAAATATCTTGATAGTCTAGCAGAACTAAAAACAAAAGCAAATTTTACAATAAAAAAGAACGGCGCAAATCGAACTGAAAATATACAAACATCGGTAAACATGCAATATAGAATGTAGAGTTATGGGTGCTTCAAAGCAACCCAATAGAGTTATGAGTGACTCAGGGAGCAGAAGCAAATCGAGGGGTACGACCATGCATATCATTTGTTTCTGAACACAATTTAATATTTCAATGACTATACGAACCAGAAAAACTACGATAATTTCAGTTCATTATACAAAGACAAATTTTGAGGCTTTTTGAGCCAATCTCAATTGAAAATTTTAAGAAAAATTAAACTAAATTTGTTACTCAAAAAAATACTTTTTCGCCCTTCGTTATTGTGAATATGTCTGAGACAAAAATTTTCAAATGGTAACCCCAATAAAAAGAGGATTAATTTTCCTTTTTTTTTTATTATTCTTTTCCCTGCAATTTATTTTTACTGTTTTTTATTTTTCTAGCAATTTTCAATTGAGATTGATTTGTCATGGTGGTTGAATTAATTTATTTATTTCATGATATTTTCCGATAAGAAGATGAACGTTGGCTTCTATGTACTTTCTATTACAAGAATTTTCCCTTACATATTTGTGTACGTAAATATATATATAATTCTTTAATACATTCCCAAGAAACTTCGACTCATTAATCTTTCGTGTCGTTTGAATTACAACGTCTCTTTTAAAATTTTTACAGAATAGAGGACAAATTCAAATGCTAAATGTAAATTTAAAATATTTTCAAGACGTTTTCATTTAAACTCTCATTCCCCGAAAAACAGAAATATGGTGTAAATTTTCCATTTTCTTACATGAACTAGAACAAATTCTCAAAATTTTCCAAGTTAAATGATCGTTAATCTTTAATGAATTTCATCAAGAAAGTTCAAGTTTATATTGTCAACGAATGTCGAATTTAATTTTTTAATTTAAAATATTATTACAAGGATTTTTCGACCCATTTTGCCAAAAAAAAAATTATTACACTTTTACTTCGTAAATTTTATTAAAATTCATTATTTTTTTTCACTTCTTATTTTTTTGATTTTAATTTTTTTACTATTATTTTTCTGATTATCCTTTGTAATAAATGAAATCATAGTAAAAATTTTATTTAAGCAGGAGGGAGACTGGGAATCTTTAGTAAATTTTCCTATAAGAATTAATGTTCTTATACTGTTTTCTTTATCCTTTCTGTGTTATTAATTTTAAAGGAAATAAACCATGGTAACAGAATCATAAATCATTCTATACAGTTGGTGAAATATTGTTGGTGATTTTATTATTATTTTAGTAAAAACAAATTTTTTTTTTATATTTTTTCATTATTATTTTTCCACCTCCTTTTAACAATAACTTCTTATATTGATTATACATTGGTATGCGCCAAGAAAAGGCAAAATATTAACCCTCTAGTACTAACTAAAATTCAAGTCAAATTGTGATAAATTATGGAACAGGTACATAGTTTAATTATTTTCCAATAATATTTTGAAATTTCAATATTTATTTAGTGAAATTTTAAATTCTAAGGCAAAAAAATCAGCAAATTAATTACATTAAATAATTGAAATTATTTTGTATGTATGTAGCAAAGGGTTAAAGTAATATTATATTAAAAGAAAATGAAAAATTGACTTATTGCAACATTGTTTGCTTCTTGTTTTTGTAGCAACTGTGTAAACTTGTTCGATAATAAAAATGTCAGAAGTTACTTCCCTTCTAATTTAAGTTTAAGAAGAATTACGAAGTATTAGTTTTTTATAGTCCTTATTTTCTCTTTTATTTTACGAGTATGAATTAAAAGTTGCAATTGCAAAAATATCTTGCAATTTTTCTTTTAAAGCAAAAAGAAAATTATAATTTTATGGTTGTATAAGGCGTTGGTTTGAAAATGAAATTTCTCCGTCCTTCTTACGTTTTGTTTGTTAGCTTAATGTGATATGTTTTTGAGTTATTATAGAAAATATTTTATAATACCATTGAATAAAATTCATTAAATAGTATAGGAATTGATTTCTAATTATAGACTATCGATATTAAATATATGAATACGAATACAATCAGGAATTGCATAAAAATATTCAAAATAAGAAATTTTAAAAATATTAATAGAATCGAGCTTTTGGGTCGAAATCGACATTAATTTTCGTTTAGGCCGGGTTACGTTAGATTATCGGAGTTGCCATATAAAGAAAACCTAGACCATTGTGATATTCCAGGTATTATCATGTACCTATATTCCCGACCTCACATAAACCAACCCGAGCTTTTCATAAACTGATTAAGATCTGTGTAATTCGTATTCGCCAGATTCGTAACTCGAGAAAAGAAATGCCATCCAAGGAATTTTTGCTTTGCATTTGCCAAAGCTGAACATTACAAACAAGATGAGTTTCCATATCTTTCTCTTCCTCTTTCTAGTTCTGCCCGTTGCCAAAGATTTTGTAACAATTACACGCAGCGGTACGCATACTCTTATCATGTATGACAACTGGATAATGTCCCATTATAATCTCCATTACTACTTCAATGTCTCCCAGGCAAAAAGCTGATATATAAATCAATTTACCGACAAAGTCATCAGCGATATCATTTATTTGACTGATAACTAAACTTACAAAATTGTTATACTTTACTCATAAAATGTTGCGTGTGAAAATAACGTATACTAAAGTATAATTGACGAATTTTACTGCACTTTACAAATTTAATTTCACTTTATTACTTCAAGTTTATTAAGTAATTAATTTCCTTTTCAAACTCTTCTATATAATTTTTGCAGTAAATCAACTTTGCAAAAAAAAAAAACATTTCCAATTTTATTATATCGAAACTTACACCCATTTTAGTAGACTCCATATAATTTTTATACTTATATACTTTTGTTATTACCACTATACATATACGATATTAAACTTTTATACAAAGAATATTATGTGCATTCTCCTACAATATTCAATTCATTTCACGTTATTACAATGTATTCCAAATAGAATACTTATTTGAAATGTAGAAAAACAAAAAATGCAAAAGCAGTATATTACGGATTCACTTTTATTATGGTCACGATTTTCAATTCAATTTCATGTTAAACGTTATGACATTAAATAATGTTTTCTAAACAATAAATTTATATCTCAATTTAAGTAAAATGAAAGGACATGAAATATCCTTTTTTCTTTTTTTGTTTTCTACATTTTCAAATGCACATTATTATTTTTTTATATTATTTTATTTTATATCTCCCTAACATCCTAATATACAAAGTATATTTATATATATAATATAAAAATTATTTACCCGTGGCATGTGCAGCCAATAAATCTTTTGATGATGAATCTGGTTTTGTTGCGCTTATACCTAATGCACTAACTCTAACTGAAAAACGTGAACCTGATTTTTGACGTCTTTCATTTATACCCTTATATAACCATGATATTGCACATGGTATTGCACCAAGTTCTGTAGATGAATTAACTGCACCTAACATTGTTCTCGATTGACCTGTCAAATATAATAATAATAATAGAGAAACAATGGAAATTTTTTTTGTATTTGGGTACATATAAAAACAAAAATAAAAAAGGATATCAAATGTACTGTAAATAAAATTTTATTGATAATGTTTTAATGTTTAATAATGGAAAATGTTATTTTATATTTTATAGTTTATTGACATTTATATGAAAACGACATTAAATTTTAGTATTCTAATTTAATGCAATAGAATTTTCTATATTCTTTTGTCTCTTACCCGTATTCGGATAGCCAATTGATAGAAGACAACCATCAGAACCTTCAAGCACAGCTGGAATTACTTCTGATAATGCAGATGAACAAACATCACTCTGAAAAACAGAAAATTAAAATTTTTAATTTTATTCCTCAACAATTCATTTGTTAAACAATTAAAAATGTTCGAAAAAAAGAATTTTAAAATGTCAGAAAAAAAGGCATCCTTAAATCAAAAGTTTATTTACAAAATTGAATGTTGTAAAATTGAAATTGTGTCTTGATTTGAAAAAAATTTTGTAGTGCTAATAAAACTGAAAATTAAATCATTAATAGCCCGCAAAAAATATTATGACGAAGATTTCTAGAATAATTTTTGACATATCTGGCATTATTTTAGCACATTTGACAGCAAATGTAACAGTTAAATAATTTTTAATTCAATTAAAAATTGAAAGAATTAAAAGAAATACACGAACTAAATTTAAATTAAAAACCCAATTATTACACGGTACAGATGTACAAGTCTTACTATGTAAAAATTAAAAGAGGTTGCATACAGAAACGTTGAATAATTAAAACTTCTGCATTAAATTGAAACTTTCACGTAATTTCACTTTAAATAAAGTTTACAATGTACAAGCAAAAATTCAATATTTGTACAAGAATGTTAAAGGATGTCGGCATAAAAAAAAATTAATTTGTTCTTTATTTTAAAAAAAGAACCGTTGCAATAAATTATAACAGTAATATTATATAATTAAATTAAATTAAATTTTTCTCTCAATGTATAATAATTCACCTGTTGATCATCCGCTGTAAATAAATTATCAAATGCAAACATTTTGGGTGCAGCAACCATTGGTGCACGATCTGCTTGTGTTGCTATTGTTGTTACATTTGTTATTGTTGTTGGATCTGTCAATGTTACTTGACGTTTTTTCTTATCAACTGTCATAAAATGTTGTGTTTCTTGATCCGTATTTACATCCGAAACACGCAACATTACTTTTACCTGGAAATAAAAAAAAAAATAATAATAATAAATAATTTTATTTTTATTTTTTATTTTTTATAATAAAATTGTATATTTAGAGATTTATGTAGGTACGTGTGAGTGTAAATACGTCAAGTGAAAATAAGTGGAAATAAATTGTCATAAAAATATTTTATTACCCTTATTACTTTATGTATAAGGCAAACTAAAAAAGAAAAAAAAATGAAAGGTATTTAGGACATGAGTAATAACGTATTAGAGTTTTATGGGGGGGGCCATGTTTTTTTCTTTTATTTTTGTTTTCTTCATAATACATACATTAATATTGTATTAAAATTAAGTCATGAGTAGCAAATACTTATACTAACAATGTAACAAAATCGCATGAAAAATATCAAGAAGTTTGCAAAACAAAAACATAGAGGGTGTTTATTATTGTATAAGTACAGTTTAAAAGGATTTGTAAGCGTCGCTAATTTCTAAATGCAAGGAAAATATTATGAATTTTTTTTTTTTTTGTAACATTATTGAAGTGTTCATTTTTCGTTTAGAATTTTATGTTATAAGAGAAAAAGAAGTGGATCATGTTTGTGATACCCTTAAGAAAGTTTACCGTAATCATGTCGGTTATCGATACCCGTAAAGAAAGTACTTACATCGGAATAGCTCTCGTATTATCAAATCTCAAATCCGAAATTTGAGTGTTTCCGGTATGTATTAGCAAATTATCCTTAAAAGTTGTATGAAATGTGTTGTTAAAACTTGCAGAAGAATTACAAACTTCTTAGAAATAGTGACCAAAGTATATTTAATTTATAGATTTTCAAAATAGTCAAAAATGTTTTAAATTTTATCGAAATTTGATACTGTTATGAAATTTGGTACTGTTATGAAATCAAATATATTTAATAGTATTATTTCTCGTCGTTTCACTTTCGTCTTCGTTTCATGAATCTTACGAAATTATAAGTTCATTTCATTCTAGAAATCATTCGGTACTGATTAAAGAAATCGACTGAATAAAATTAATTACGACGGTATTTTAATTTGAGTTTAAAGTTTACAAAAAATTGAGAGATTTCTTACTCAACAATGAAAGGAAATTGATCTTAGTTTTTCTCTTGAAATTTCCAAATAAATTATGGAATAAAGTTGCCAACACTTTATAATTCGATAGCTATAGGATTTATCGCAGTAGGTCCTACTTTTAAAAAGTAAAATTAGCGAAATATTTTTATATTTAGCAAATTTCAATAAGTCCTTTCAAAAATAAAAATGCTTGTAAAAATTCTGAAGATGAATTGAATTTGAAGTATTTGAAAACGTATTTTAACATTTTACTAATTTGCACTGGTCTTCATATTGGTTACATATTTCACACGAATCCTCATACTTATACAGTGTCAAATAAAGTGTAAGTATAAATTGCAACAAATTAAGAGATGGAAAATAACAGATTACATGAACAGAATAACAATAGGATTCTATAACTGGCAAAAATTTCTATAAATTAAAAATTTTAAGTTCCAAACTCATTAATATTAAACATTTTTTTTAATGCAAAAGTTTCATTTAAAATTGATCTATTTTTTTTCTTTCAGAACTCAACAATCAATAGTCCTTGCGAATATTTAATCCACTACTTCAATTAAATGAGAATTCAATATAAAATAATCAATATTGCAAACTAAATGAAAACTGGATAACCTTTATATGAGTTTTATAAATAAGCCTACAAAATTAAAAGAATATGTATTTGTTCCAAATTTCTACAGTTATTTGACAGATTGATAGATCATTGTAATCTAACACAATCAAATGACAGAAAGTTTATTCAATATTTTAAAGTAAACTCATTTTATAACTGTCTGTCGTAGCTATTCATTTGAGGTGTTATGAATAAAATTTAAAATTAATATAAATAATAACGAGGCATAATACAGTACACACTTTGCCCATACTATATATAGGTTTATAGTTGTGGTATAGAAAATATGAAGAAAGAGATTGGATGACGTCAGTGAGTAAAATGAAGAATATTGCATTAAAATAGTGTTTAGTGGTTTTATCAAATACAACTTTGATTATATTGCAGGTATGTTAAATTTTTAACAGCAACATTTCATATGAAAACTTAACAGAAGTAGCGGAATTTGAATAGAAATAATCAGCGGAAGAATTACTTTTTTTACTTCTTAAGGGCAATAGCAAAACCAGCTTATTACAAATGATTTCTGCATATCCAGTTGATTCCTAACATTATTTTTGAGTTTTGACTTTCCATGACAACATTCTAATTTTGACATAGTTTTAGCTATACGACTTAACTTGAATTCAAAACATCAACAATTCAACATAAAAATTTTTGATAGTATTGCAATACTTTGCAGTAGTATGCTACCTAAATGGCAGAATAAAAAAAAAAATAACAAAACGTGATTAAAAATCATGTATGGTTTATTCACAATTTGCAATGCTCTCCCCCTACCTCCGGCCTTCAGATATGTATGAAATCATTAAAAATTCCGTTATTTTAACTTTTTAATGCGCAACACTTTTAAACCTAATAATATTTTATTACATTTTTTCATTACTTCTTTTTTTGTTTTATTATTTTATGCTTTTTTCACTTGTATAATATTGTGTAAATGGGGGACATTTATTTCAATGATTATTTTTTTCCTCGTATTATTTATTATGGTAATTTTGCTTGAGTAAAATCAGAAATAAAAATTATAAAATAAAGTAGACCGCGAGCTCAAATACTAAATACCATAAGCGTATACATATTTAACATCATTAAATCCATTAGCATGCGTTTGTTACATAAATTCATACAAAAAAAAAACTGTACAGTTATATATAGTATACAAATTGAAAATTATTTAACAAAGCGTACAATATTAATTTCTATGTTAACAAGCTGATGTCCTGCAAACCCAAAAAAAAAAAAAAAAAACCAAAAAAAAACAAACTATTTACCTCATTTTCATGAAAAAATTGAATTTGAGGCGACAGAAAAATTTTAATATAAAATTGACATGTTTTATAGTTGCGAATTAAAATAATAAAAATGTAGATTTGTTGAGGGGAACATCCCACATTTCTAAATATTATACGAATGAAAATGTGCTCATTTACTTGGTTATACCATCATTAGCCATATAAAAATCACTATTAAATTGCGTATATATAAATTGGAATCTGTCTACAATGCGTGAAATGAATCATCAGAATAAAATTTTTCATGATCCTTTTTTATGCATTCAATGTATGCAAATTGAAGTGCATATTGAAATTGTGTAGTTATTTGTAACTAATATGAAAATTAATGCATATTTATAAAAATAATTTTTGTTGCATACACTTAGGAGGAATTTATTTTTTTAATACAACACTTAAATTAGAATACTGCAAAAGTTAGTTAGTCTTCTTATAATTGCTTTTATGTAGTTGTAATTTTGAAAAAATAACATGGCCGAAAGCTTAAATTTCCTTAAATTTAAGATCCAATGACTCAGAAGGGAAGGAGATTCAATTAGATGGTTTATTTGAGAAATTAATTCGACATTCAGACATATTTTTATCATTGTTTTTAAATAATAAAAGTAAGTTGCAAATTTTTTCTGTTTTCCAAGTTAAAATATTTTTTTTTATAATTTTACTGCACGGAGGGGAAGTTGGTGAAAATTTTCTTCTAAACAATTAATTATCTTAGCAAGATGTCCAATCCATGTTGATTGAAGAAATTCAACTTTTTGAATCCGTATTTTTTAAAAGTACTCACAGGGAAACTTATACGAAGGAGGATTTTTTCTCAAATTCACCGAAAACATTTCGTAGAAATCATAAAAATTGCAATTATACGGACATAGTTCTTTAACTAAAATCTATAGTCGGTCGAACCGAACTTTAAATCCAACATAATATTTTTTTTTTTTTTTGTTAAATTGTTCTACAATATGCAGCCTCATATTATGTACGTACGCATCATAATTATATAGTTGATGCAATTTTTAATTCTTAAATGGGAGATGAAATATATGATCCACTTATTATTTTATTGCACTTTTCAACATTAACATATTCCAGCACATTTTATTTAATGAATGGTATATATGTAGTTTATATAATCAGCATAATACAAGTAATAATCATAAAATATAATATTTTGTAATTAGTGAAATAATATTACAAATTAGGTGAATATTATTAAGCGTGATGTGATATCAAAAACAGAATAAAAAAGAAAAATGGAAAAAAATTAAAGTGCTAAAAGGAAAATTGTAACAGATGTGAATTTAATTGCAAAATTTCAAATGAAAAATGAAAAATTTAAATTAATGTCCGTGGTATGTATACAATATTGTAGTATGTAATGGGCTTGTTAAATGATGACTTGAATTTTGAATGAATTTATAAATTGATGTGCAATTTTTTAGCTAATATGTGAAATGCTTTGTGTTTCGGTTTTATTTATACAACTAAGTACATTCATTTAGAAAGTATGTGACGCCACATTAATAAACATTAATGTATCCGAAATTGTATATAATTATTGTGATATTACAACTACAAAATTCTTCTCAATACCGTATCCCAACTTTGATTATAATTAGACTAATCAAACGTAACTGAGGACAGAAACTACATCAAACAATTACTTTGAGTTTTTTAATGCTCACCTTTAAAACAATTACAGAACAGGTAAGATTTTCAAAAAATGCCGAACTAAGATTAGGATTCAAGACAACGTAACTTGGAAAAAAGACCTGAATTAGGAATATTTGAATTTTTCATATTTAAATCAACAAAAATTTGGTTGATCGAACAATTCGAATTTTTTCTCTTTAAGCTGGATTTAAATTAAATATCTTATCGCTATCTACATAAGCATGAAGAAACTATTATCGGTATTAGGCTATCTATATATAATATATAAAAATGTTATCGTAGTTGTGTCTTTTAATGACAACCAAATGAGCATATGTAATACGTCATATTTTTGTTTTTCCTATTTCACTCCCTTTGGGAGCATAGGGCTTCCAAAAAGCTTCTATATCGGACTTTATTTTGCGACAATATTTTTATTTCTGCCCACGTTTTTCTGTTGCTGTTTTTAATTCTTTCACGATTTGGTAATCTGCCAGGGTTATGTGTTTGTTTTTCGTCTTTGCCAGTGTATGTTGTAGATAACTCGCAGACATTCGTTTAATATTGTTTGCAGTTTCTCCATGTCGTATTACGTAATACGACAATACATAATATGTCTAAATTATAATTACTGTAAAGAACAAATCGTCACGAATAATCCTCAATCTTTCTTTATGTAAATTCTTCTACTCTGCGATTTCTTTGTAGCTCAGTTGGTATAGCATCCGCTCAACAAGGTGTAGATCACTCACTTTAAATTAGTGTAGAGTTCAGTTCGAAGAGAAATTTTTTTTTTTAGCATTCATCCATATTGTATGAGTATATATATTATACAGTTAACAATTAAATCATATTTAAAATTAAATTTAACAACACATGTAAATTTAACAAAATGCGAAAAATATTTTTTATTTGCCGCAAATATCATAATCAAACTGAGAATAGTTTCATATTAATTTAAAAGCAAATTAAACATATTTACAAATACAAAATATGAGTTAAAGTTTTCTCTTCAATGAAAATTAAACTAAAAGTATAAACAAATACTGAAAAATAAATATAAAACTATTCGTTTTATCTATTTTATGCATTAACGCGAGGATGCATTCATAATTTTTTTACGTTTCCACTTATACACATATGTAAAAAAATAATAAAAAATGCACTTATTCTCGAAAATTTGTTAACAAACATTAGTAAAATAGGGTAGTACAAAAATGCTCTTACATAAATATTAAAGTATTTTTTATTAAATATAAAATAATCCAAAAAAAGAGCATGAAGAAAGAGAGAAATCTAATAAAACATAAATAGTCCACCCTAATATCACATATATAATCAAATATTGCAATGACGTGTCATACATGTAAAAATAATGCAACAAGGTAGTGACTAAGTGGGAAAAATTTCATAATTTTTTGTTTTCTCTGAGTGTATGTATGTTTGTACAAAAATTAGTTTTTGTTACTCTCATTTTTTTTTTCAAATGCAATTTAATAATACAATATAAACGTTATATTTAAGTGGGTCGTATAGGAAATGAAAGGACTAGCTTTCTCACATAAACACATGTACTTACTTTTATATAATATGTATGAATGCAATTTTGTGTGAGTTTATATAAAATTGTATATATGACAATATGATAATTTTTTTTTTTTGCATATTCTTACCTTTCCAATTCCATAATTCTCTTTGTTAGCTAACCTACGTGCAAGACCAGGAGGCATAGGTGGTGGTGCTCTTTGTAATGCACCACAAAATCCACCATTACGACTTGATGATGTCATATCTGAACGTATTTTTGAGGATGTACCACTACTATTGCCACCACCACTTTGAGAAAATTTTGCTGCAGCTCTGCAAAAAAACAAATTAAATAAAAAACAAAGTTAGTTAAATATTAAAATTGTGGGGGTAAAGAAAAAAAAAAAAACTAAAGTTAAAAATTTTTTTACAGAAAGTTACTTTTTTTTTGAGGGAGGGAAAAAGTTATTTCGTGTTGTTTTTCAATTTTTTTTTTTGATGTACGACTATGTATTTTTCAATTTGGAAAAAAAAAAGTTTCAAAAGAGTTACAGGGAACGAAAAAATTAAAAAATGTGCAAAAACTAGTAAAAAAATTTTAATTTAATTTTTTATTTTATTTTTTGGTTTTTTTTATTCCAAAAGTTATTTTTACATAAATTTTTTTCACAGCTCTTTTTGAATTTAAATTGAAATTTTTTAATTAATTATTAATTATAGGGCGGAAAATCATATATTTGTGTAATTTTGTTTTTTTTTATTTTTGAGGAAAAAAATATTAATTAAAAAATATTTTACATTTTAGTTTTAATATTATGAGTATTTAAAGTATATGAGGAGTAGAAAATCAATCGTTAGTTTACAAGTATTTTTTTGTTTCCCCTTCTGAAGGTTTTTTAACAATGAAGCAGAAAACATTTAAAATTATTGTTTCCCTCCAACTTTAGTAATAAATTTTAAATTTGACACGTATTGACAATTTGAAATTTTCAATATTTTACAGGGTTTAAATTTAAAAAACGATTTTTGTTTTATTAATCTCTCAAATGATTCAGAACAGTATAGCATTTTCGTAAAACGATTGAATTGGGCTTCACTATAGCTTTTTTATCATGATCTTATGTCTAACATCATTCAAATATTGCAGTTCATATTAATTAAATTTATAAGTAATTTATAAATTTTTATAAATTAATAAATTTTTAAAATTTATAAATAATTTATGCTTAGTCATTAAATTTATTTTAAAAATTTTTAAAAATTTATGATAATTTCTTCCAAACAGGTGATATCCGTTATTGCGAACAGCACCACACTCCTTATCATATAGATAAGTGTAATGATTACGGCAACTCTTAAGGCTCTTTATAAATTGCTTTTTATAATTCATCAATTCTTCAATTAAAAATTATAAATTGATAACAAATCTCGCTGTAAATGGATAAAAAATACGGAAGTTGTTACAAGTCTGATTTCGTTGCTCATTAAATTTTTTAATTCCATTTGGAAAACTAGAAATGCTTTTCAATCACATGGCTATGTTCAAAATATTTTTTCTCCTGTTGTATTGCTTAATTACCGATTCTCTCCTTAGTTTACGAAAATTTAACTTTAAATTAAAATTAAAAATTTTAAAGAATTCGGGTAGCTATCTTAAACCAAAGATAGTCTATGATAAAAATTTTATTATATAAAATTAATCAAATAAATTGCATACTTTTGGGATTTCGTTGAAAATTGCAAAATACTTTCAAGAACTTCTGAATTAAATTTTGAATTTCTTTTTGAAATACAGTAATCCCTCGCATAGAGTTACCCCGAATTGAAAAAAATTCAATACATAAGATTTAAAAATTTTTTGTGGCTAAAACCTTATATTAATTGAATTGACTCCCAAGAGTCAAAAGTTATATATTCTGTTATATAAAAATTAGGTACGAAACCCGGTTTCAGTTCATTTCACCTAAATTTTTGGCGCCAAAAACGGCTTAAAGCTAGAAATTACTGTATTAAAATTTTAAAATTAAAAAAAAATTTTTCGGAATTAAATAATACAAATTCCAAAAACAACATGAAATCAAAATTTCGAAAAAATTTTATGGCACAATTTCAGCTAATTTTTACCCTACGTAATTTTACAAATTTTGTATTTTAAATCAATTTTTACAACTTTAAATTTTTAAAGTATACAAGTACCCATAAAAAAAATTTTTGTTTTTTTTTTTGTTTTGTTCGTTCAAGGAACTTTCATATAATAACGGTACATACAAACCTACCGGTGTTATTAAACACAATAATTGAAGTAGAAAAGCATGATTTTTTTTATACTAACCAACAGGAAAAAAGGACATAATATAGAGAATAGAATGAATGATAAAAGAAAAATAATCAAAACGAAAGAAAAATAATGTCAATTTATTTATTTGATGCAGGGAGAGAGAGAGAGAGAGAGAGAGAGAACGATCGTGAAAAAGAGAGACTCATAGTTATATAACACTTCTTTTCATTATAATAAAAAATTTATTCTTGGTATTTTTTTTTATTATCTAGACCAACACCATATTACATAACTACGTATATAGAAAGACATCTATGTAGAAATTTTATTACATAAACAAAGGGAAAAAAACACACGAAACAAAAACTTTGTTTGGGAAAAAAACTGAAAAAAAAAATAATATTACAAACAACGAAATATATTATAACAGTTTTGTATATATAACGTGGTATAGAAACCAATATCCAGTAGCATCTAACAACTTCAAATCGTTGAGAATCAACTTTAGTTAGAACTAAAAATATGGTTTTTTTTTTCTCTATATTGCATGCATGCAATTTTTATAAAGACTTTGTGTGCATGTGTATTATGCATTCTGTTTTTAAGGGAAATTTGTCATTTTCACTCATTTTCATTCATTCATTTTTTTCATTTTTCTTCCTCTTGTTCTTCTTCTTCTTTTTTGTCAAGTCATAGAGCGTATATACATAAAAAAATATTAAAAGAGAAGTGCAAAAAAAAAAAAAACAATGATCCAAATATAGTGTAGAACACGTTGACGAGCAACAACAGGTCCTTTGAGACTACAAAAAATATATCCTTTTAAAAAATAAAATAAACATCACAATCCTTTCACATTTACCAAACCATTTGTGCAATAATAAAGTTCCCCATCATCGTTTCCCATTCCCCCTATATCCGAATGCATATTGTTCCTATATTTTTGATGGTGAATCAAAACTTTTATATTGTAGAATGAATTTTTGAAAATCTTGTATTTTTATTGTTTAATATATTTGTTTTAATTTTTTGTTCTCCCTCCCATATCTCTTTTTTCTTGTTCCTAGTATTTTCGTGTTTTCTTTTTTTTTTGTTTAATGTAATCCATTTGTGTTTGTGTTATCTATTCAAATATTTTATTAGAAAATATTCTAATATTAAAAAATTGTAGATACGGTATAAAGCTTATAAGACAAAAAATAAAAGAGAAGCTTCCTGTAATAAAAAAATAATAAAAGAAAAAAAGGTTCCTATATATTTTCGAGAAACAAGTAAATTGAAGTTTATTAATGCATGGTGTGGCTGGAACGTGAATTTGTACAACAAAAGACTATTTTTGTTAAATAAATTTTGTTAAAATAAAATGAAAGTAAAAATGGTAGAAAGTTTTTGCTCTTCTTATGAATTTCTGAATAATAATCTAAGGGTAACTCAATAATCTATAAGGGTTACCTTTTAATAGTACAAATCTAATTACAATAGTCACCTTCAATAGCGGTTAAATTCATTTTGAAACATGTATCGCAATAAACAACAATTTATTCGATAACGAAGCCGACATCAATTTTTGTTATAACGAGAAAAAATAGAGTTGACCATGTCAACTCTGTGATACCCGTACGAATTTGTTATCCTATGTGCGAATACTATGACTAAACAGATTATGATTTTCTACCATAGTCTGCTACCAGAAAGAGCCACCAACGACTTTTATCAAACAAATTGACTCTACCCATATATTCGCTTGTGTGAAATTTCAATATCACAGCTTTTATAATTTCTGAAATATAGCCAATTAATTTTTAATGTATGGCAGCTACCCGAACCAATACCTCGATCATATCCAATTTAAATGGGGCTCTGACATTTACTATAATAAATCATTTGTGAAAATTTGGTAAACTTGACTCAGTTAGTTGAGTTATCATTGAGATGGACGGATAAACAGACAGACAAATTTAAATCGACTCAAAATTGGACGCTGATCAAAAACATATACCTAAGTCTATATTTCGGACAGTTATTTCTTAACGCTATAAACTATAAGGCTAATTTAGTATACACTTCGAACATACGTTCGTACGGGCATAAAAATGTTGAATCTAAAAGGATGAACGACATTGGAAACACGTTTTGTGAAAAAAAAACGACGAGAATTTCGGAAAAACTTTTTCTCATTTGAAGAGTACATAATACTCACTAATTTTTCTCTCATTTCTCATTGTAAAAATTTAGATAAATAATGTTGCAGTAAATAATATGAAATTTATATTTTAATGCCCCATTCACAATGTCTAATTCTTAGATGTATTAAAGTAATTTTGAATTATTCCAATTTCAAGTTAATAATTTTAATATTGTGGCACTGCAAATTTATTTTAATTACAATTGTTTAAAATTTCCACACTTCATTATTCTAAATACCATGTTTATAAAACAATATTCACCATATTTGCTCTAATAATTCCGTCTCAACAAAATAGATTTTTCACTAGATAAAATATTCGCTCCATATAACATAAATCCATTCATCAGCTACTCATTAAAGGGTAAACATTTTTTATTTTAGTTTCATCATACGAAGGGTTCTTAACTCTTTTATACATAATGATATCCTTTTACAATTTTTATTCCTTTTTTAAATAAATAATATCAAATTTATTATTAATCTTAATTTCAGCAATGTAAAAAAATTTACAGGAACGAGACTAATTAATTTTAATAAATAAAATTCACCCGGCTTATTTAATTTTATAATGAAATTTTTAAAATAAAAATTTACTAATTTAAAAAATAAAAATGAAATATTGGCTTTTTTATAAAATTATAACAAAGGACGTTACTTCATGTTTAAAAAACAAATTAATTTTTAATTTTCATTATGCATAATTTTGTAGAACAGTAAAACTCCAATTTATTATATTTCGTTTAAGTTCGACTGTTTATTTAATTTTAAGATAAAAACCTGCAATTAAACGAGCGTTCAGTGTCACGAATTAGATCCTTATATTCATTGTACACCTTAAATCATATTACAATTTATTTGCAGAACCGC